CTGTGGCCTTGCAGATGTAAGTAGTCTGTTTGTTTGTTTATAGTTAAGCACATAGCTATACATTTGGCTATCTGTGCTCTGCCCACACGGGTATCGAAACCCGTTTCCTAGCGTTGTAAGTCCGCAGACATACCGCTGTGCCACTGGGGGGCCGTAAGAAGTCCAACATGGTCTCCAGTCTGTAGTGAAATTTAAACTGATTCTGTAGTTGTATTAATAGACGTATGGGAATTGAAGAGTTCAATGTAACGTGATGCAGACCAATTAATGACATCTATTCTATAACCATTGCTGTGAGATCTATTTTATAACCATTGCTGTGAGATCTATTCTATAACCATTGCTGTGAGATCTATTCTATAACCAATTAATGAAATCTATTCTATAACCATTGCTGTGAGATCTATTCTATAACCAATTAATGACATCTATTCTATAACCATTGCTGTGAGATCTATTCTATAACCAATTAATGACATCTATTCTATAACCATTGCTGTGAGATCTATTCTATAACCATTGCTGTGAGATCTATTCTATAACCAATTAATGAAATCTATTCTATAACCAACTAATGAAATCTATTCTATAACCATTGCTATTTTTATTCAAGTTCCAGAAATGTTTTGTTTAAAGGCAGTTTCATAATATTCAATCACATTAGAAGTTAACGTTTGCATTTTATCAAAGCTTCAGATAAAGATGAAAATTCGGAGTAAGGGCAACATAATCATGTCTTTTAAATTATTATTCAAAATGTAAACTAAAGGGCACTCAATAGAGCGCATACCTCCGCCAAACAGCGTTGATCACATTCGGCTCTCAAAAAATATGAAAATGTGTCCGTATGCCCGTCGTTATCAATGGACAGAGATCATTCTTGGCAGGTTAATGAGGAATAATATTATACATACTTCCACCAAGTTCTATCAAAATCTTTTCATTTTTAACTGAGTCATAGAGCAAACATAATGTGAAAAATCGGTTCCCATGTTAACAGATAAGAATTTTTTGGATTTTCATGACCTTTGCTGTGACTCCAATAACTAACCGCTTCTAAGTTGGATCATAGTCTAAATGTATACCAAGTTTCATTCAAATATATTCAACCGTTTGTGAGAAAACTTGCTGACAAACACATACACACACATATGGGGGAGGGAACATAACCTCCGTCACCTTCGATAGCAGGGGTAATAATGACAGACGTTAAGGTGGATTTCAAGGATACTTTACTACATCCAGTTGGTACCGAGGGAATGATAACATTGTCAATAATCAAATTACACAAAGCAGTAACTTATGATTTACATTTTGATAAGTTAAGTTTTCGAAGAAAGCTGATAACAAAACTTGTTATGGTTGCTTTTATCTTACTAAGGTTCTTCTGTTTTACTCTAAGCATAGTTTTTCGGTTAATAAACTGATATGTCTACATTCTATCTGATTAGTTTGGAAATAATTGAGTAAAATTGGCTGTTTTTGTTTTTATCGATTACAGTTTCTTCTAAGAAGCTGACTGAGGTGTTAGAATATGAGTTTAAAGAAGGGGGCGCTTTGTCCAAGTACAATCCTGAAGGAGTAAGTATGCACTACTAAAGAAGCCATGTTTCAAACGATTCTTGGTGTTTCAATTTCAACTTCTTAAAAATTAATCAATTAAAAATTTTGTCTAAAGGATTATTGTTTACAAAGAATTGTGCTACCCTCGATCGTGGTTGAGATCTAAATAGTAACGTTACCAGTGTGATGCTTACTAGAACGTTAGGTATTTATTATTAGAGTTTTAAAATTATTCTCTCGAAAGTTTGTTTATTAACTTCTTCACATCTTTATCAAGACCTGAATTTCCTTTTCATGTACGTTAAACAAGTACTGAAATAGAAATCTTCCACTTTCTTCTAAACTGAAAACTTAATACTGAATATTTTATTTGGAAACAAGCTAGTATTCTCAGTGTTACTTTGAGCAATATTTCATTTCAAGGTAGGATTTTCTTAATTATACTTAACCGCTTATTTCAATCACTGCGAACAGCATATTATTTAACACACAATTCAGCCCCAAAGCGGTGAAAAGTTGAGCTAAAACCTATATACATATATCATTTTAAAGTAATGGAACCACTGAAAAGGAAGTAGCTCTCAGCTGAACCATAAATGAGTAGAATACATTTTATTTGATACAATAAGCTCGCTTCTCATATCAATATACTTTTATCATTAAAAAATTAACAATTAACTGAACACATGATTACCGAGCAATTTGCATCACTAACAAAATTCGGATGACTAATGTTAAAGTCAACATATTCTTTACTCTCTGCAACCAGCTAGGAAACAACCGTTAGTTTTGTTGCTGTCATCTAGTATATTCTTGGATTCTGTTTGCTTAGATATTTGCATCAGAAACTACTCGTTTTCCCTGTTGTGACGTAAGTTTTTCCTGAGGTTCTGGATTAAAAACGTAATACAAAGTACAATAAGATTACAAATTTTAAACTAATAATTTTAGGGAAAAAATTAACAGTCAATTAAGCGTTATTTCGAAATGGTACTTTCAGTAAAAAGTGTTTTACCCTAAAAAATATCAATAATAATTAAGAGCTTAATATTTTAGATATTTCAATGCATGATTGAACTGTGAATTCGAGGAGTAAAAAAAAGTAGTTTTAAATCCCTGACTTAAAAAAAAGAAATATTTATTTGGCAATAAGTATTTCCACATCTTAAAAAGTTGAGATTTTTAGTGGCCGTAAGTAACATTTCTAATTAGCTTTAACAAGTTATTCTTTTTAATTGAGAATTATAGTATAAACCATGGTGAGGAGTATACTGTTCAGATAGGTATTCTTACTCCGTAAGTTTTACAAGTTGCATGTAACCATGAGCCTATAACCCTCAGTGCATGTAACCATGAGTCTATAACTCTCAGTTATTTATTATAATTACTTATGATGGTTTTTTGTTATTGTTTTGAGGCTTAAAGTGGATTAGTGGTTCGCATGTCCGAACTATGTATCCGAGGATTCATGGTTCGAATTCCATTTCCGTAAAAAATGCAATTTGGGGCTTACAAAGCTAAAACCCGGGTTTCGATACCCACGGTGGGCAGAGCACAGATAGTCCAATGTGTAGCTTTGTGCTTAATTACAAACAAACAATGCGATTTGGGACCGTGGGTGTACTATAAGAGTGACGATCATATCCCACTATACGATTAGAATAGCTTAAGAGCCAGCAGTGGGCGGTGTTGACTAGCTGTCTTCCTTCTAGTCTGTCAGTTCAAAATTAAGGACGACGAAGCGTAGCTAGCCGTTGTGTAGGTTTGGGCGAAAATTCTATAACACGAAATACATACGCCAATAAGGGTAAATACCCCTGGCCGGCTCATCGTGGAGTCTTGTTTTGATACAGTACCTTGTCATATCACTACCATGGAATTTAAAAAAGTCAGGATATATTAAATAGTTTTTATGACAGAGTCCTTAACATTTCTGGAAAACTATTTATAGTTTATATAATTTATATAATGTCAAGCAGCAACACGGAACAACTGTATTCTATATAGTGACAATTTTGTGTAAAGGCATTTTTCTTCAAGAGAATCAACATCACATTCTCGATTATTGCAGTTTGTTTGTTTTGAATTTCGCGCAAAGCTACTCGAGGGATATCTGCGCTAGCCGTCCCTAATTTAGCAGTATAAGACTAGAGGGAAGGCAGCTAATCATCACTACCCACCGCGCTAACTCTTGGGGCTACTCTTTTACCAACGAATAGTTGGATTGACGGCTTAAAGGATGAGCATCTTTGGTGGTACGGGGATTCGAACCCGCGACCCTCAGATTGCGAGTCGAGCGCCCTAACCACCTGGTCATGCCGGGCCTGATTATTACAGTATTTCTGACCAATTTCTTCATCTTTCCAAACCCTGAGAGCATAGAAAGCTATGAATTTTGTTGTTGTTGTTTTTATGAGTAAAGTAGCGTAAAGTTTGTGTTTGAATATTAACGTAATGACGCATAGTTCTCGTGCAAGACACTTAGAAGTTAGAGACAAAATCTTTTAACTTTTAAGTCTAAATCGCTTAAAGCACAGAGTTTGAGAGAAGAGAAACAAAGTTTGAAAATGTTTCATTCTCTGTAAACCTCTTTTGTATTTCTCCACTTTTATTCTCTTTATAAAAGTTTTCTGAAATTTAATATTTAAGGAAATCAATAAACTCATACAAATAACATAAGATAAGTACACAACAATTATATATACTCAAGTGTTTATACACAACGCAGGAGATGCTACGTAGGTAAAAACATAAGGTAAATTAAAAAATGGCTTCTCTCGGGAGCTTGGTGGTTAGACGCTCGACTCGCAATTTGTGGGTCGAAGATTCAAATTTCGTCACCAAACATACTCGCTCTTTCGGCCATGGGATCATTATAACGTAGCGTTAAATCCCACTTGTCCTTGGTAAAAAAAGTAGTCCAAAAGTTGGCAGTGGGCGATGTTGACTAACTGCGTTCTCTCTAGTCTATCACTCCTAAATTAGGGACCGCTAATGCAGCTAACCCTCGAGTACCTTTAGCAGCGGAATTGAATAAATACCAAACAAGTTTAACTTGGGCTCCACTTTATGTTTATTGATATATTTCTGTTTCTCAGAACTCCTGCTTTTCTTCTAAGTGTACATGATTAAAGAATAATTCCTTTCCAGGCATCGTGCACTAAATGATTCGTACCAACATAGTTTGCTTCCTTTCGTTTATGTGGATTGAACCTCACACAATTCTTCTTCGATTTTCAGATTTTAATGCTAATACAGAGCGTTTAATACGTTATATTAAAACGATTTTGAATAAGTAAACCAGCAATTCACGTGATAACCTCAGCACATATATAGTCGCGGTAGAACAGAATGTGTCAGAATAACAAATCTATCATCATTTGGCATCTTGTTGTTTTCTGGAATGGTATGTAACAGCAAAATATTCTCACACTCAGGTGATAAAGATGTGTTCATATTGTGACTTTAGAATTTCCAAGACGGAGATAGCCTTTGTACATAATGGTAATGGAAAACAAAGGAATATGGATCAACTTGAAGCGCCAGAACTATCAAGAAAGAGAAATGCAACAAGTCCGTATGCCAACCGTGACAAGCAAAGGGCAGTGTCCTGTAACAGGTGAGAATCCTCGAAATAAACGTGTATCTATGGTGTTACAACCGAAGATATACCGGTCAAGTCGCTAGACGCATCGTCTATACATTTCTGTGCGATCATACTGTTGAATGGGCGTTGGTAAACCGTTCTCTTCGTGCTCTCGATGACAACCTTACGATGGAGCCGTTTGCAATATAAACTACGCTGCAGAGCTATTTTCAAGATTCACGGTCGTCAGATAGAGCTTGACTTGACATGGCGACGTAGAATGTAAAGATGTGGCGAAACTCCAAATGTGTTTTAATGTAACGCAACCTCTGTAAAATTATAGATGAATTTAGTTAATATTTTTCATACTATACACTAGTACTTTTTTCCTCACTGCCTATATTATTAATGTGAACAATAATTCATTAAAGGGTTTGTTAGTTTACAATAGAACGTCATTTATATCTTTTGGTTCGGTATCCCTTTTACCAAAGTCATTGTTTCCTTTTGCTGCAGGATATTGATCTGGAGGGCTTCCAACTCTTTTTGGATACTTACCTTGAGATCGAAACGCCAAGAGATTTATCCAAACGTCTTTTTCTTTCGTTTTTAAAAAAATCACCCCAAGCTACGTCCCAGAGTTTTGACGGTCGTCTTCTTAAGGTAAAAACTGAAATCATATAGTATGTATTTATGATAAAAAGGTGAGTTTAATCATTCCGATAAATATTACAGTAACACTTCAGTTACTATATTTGTATAATTTTATCAGTCCTGAATTAAACATGGGCTTAAATACGTATTATTAATTTCTGTTTATCACACTTTACAAAAACCATCACATGTTTCATCTGTTACACGCACTTTGTACCAGCTCTTAAATCAATATAGTAAATGTACCCAATAACAACTAACACACGTTCTTCAAATTAAAAAATTAAACAATTGCGGGTTTATAGACCTATAACATGATATTATGAAAACCTTATTGTATATCGTGTGATCACCTGGTATATAAATTATCAAACTGATCATTCATGTTTTTATTTATACACAAATTATTCCTTGCTTTATTAATGTTATAAATTTCAATTTTCAATTCATGTTGCTCCTCGAAAAGTGAATCAAACAAAAATACTAAGTAAGTGATTTTATTTTTGTTAATCATGCGTTTGTGAGTGAAACGTATAAAGCACTTTTATTCTTAATGTGATTCCAATTGTGCATCTGTTAATTTCGTATGTTAAGAAATGTTTTGGTGTCTCCTTTGGTCTGTGATTCCACAGAATATGTGTTAAGAAGCCATTACGTCGTGTATTTTGTAGGTGGCAGCTGTGACGTCCACAACAGCCTGTGCACCACTTACGTCGCATAATGGCTGTGGTTCTTTACCGGAGTTAGCCAAGCATGGACAAGCAGAAAAGAAAGATGAGAAATATCACGGCTTGGCAGAAAAAATCCATGGACTTACAGAAAAACTACACAGTCTCGGTCATCATCGCAGTGATAGCGACAGCTTCACTGGCAAGTCTGGTAAGTAAGCAAAACGTAGTTACAGAGGGGGGTGTGGGTGACAGGGTACTTACAATGTCGTGGAGGGGTCCAATTTGCAGTTTCTCTGAGACATTTCTAGTCAAGCCGGATTAAAACAAATACGAAAATTACGTCATAGCATAGGACCCCCGGCTGAGTTAGGTAGGGGGGGCAGGCGAGATCAACCATCTTTACCCCTCCCCTGCTGTGAGTCGTGACTTTTAATATTTTAATTCGTTAAAGAAGTAGGATAAATATGCTATTTTAGTCATTTTTACAACTTTTCTCACGTGTTTCATGGCACTTAAAAGGCTCTTACAAAATTATATTGACCAGTAACTGTTTTTTTTTTTTAAATATAGTTTGCTTTCTATTTTGTGTGTCTTTGGGCATTCTCTCAGACCTGCATTAGCTGCAAATTTCGTTATGAACAATTGAAGTACTTTGAACTGATGTTACGTTTTCTTGCTTTGCTAAAATGTTAATAAATATGCAAGCGAGAGCATTAGTTATTTTAGAAATCCATGTGTGTGTGGTCCAAACAAAGCTCCTCTCTCTTTAAATTAAATATCCTCCACTGCGAACTGGAGCCGTTGAACTGTAGTTGAATTCAGATATCCAGTCCCTTTGTGTTTACACTGGTAGAGAGAAAATTACTATTGCACACTACAAATATTGTTAGAACAAAAAGAAATTGTCACGGAAGATAGAAGACGCAACCTGTTTTCTGTAAATAAACTGCTTTGTAGCTTTAAACTCATTTTTTTCTTTTATTTTTCAATATGGCGTCTACAAACATCAGCAGATTCGTTACGCAAAGTTAAAGCATATGATGTTATTTCTTTGTTTTACCATTTTTTGGTTGTTAGTACTTTTGTTAGTAGAGACTACAGAATATGTTTCTTAGAATAAATACGTGAAGTCAAAAATTAAAAAAGATAGAAACATATAGAACCACATATCAAGAACTTAAACACTATATTTCGTCTCTGTTATATTTCCACTAGGGTGCGCTTCTGTTCACCCGATGGTGACTGTTACTCAGAATTACGGGGAGCAGATGTCAACGGATTCCTCTCCTAACCAGAGTGTGGTTTCCAGAAACTCTTCCCGAAAGTCCAACAGTTCCATTCTTGTACACAACAGTAAGTTTTATAGTATTGATTATAGAGCATGGAATGCATTCAATATGGTTACGGTGATCGAACTCTTCCCGAAAGTCCAACAGTTCCATTCTTGTACACAACAGTAAGTTTTATAGTATTGATTATAGAGCATGGAATGCATTCAATATGGTTACGGTGATCGAGATAAGTTTTAAACCTCGTTTGACGTAAATGAAACTCTACTGTAATTTTAATATTGAATTATTACTGGTAGTGCAAAGTCTCAGACAGGCACACAAAAGGACTCATGTTATCTCTTACTTCCATTCTATCACGTACTATACACTTTCTTAATTAAACTTATTGCTTTGATGGTTTACTCTATTGACACAAAATCAAGGAAATAAGATACTGAGATTTTAATACGAAATATTCGGTTTAGTATTTGTCTTGCCAACTACTGTTATAAACGACGAAGAAGATCTGGAATAACCTTCATCTTGATTATACAATTAATTGTGTTATAGTATCTACAAAATGTTATATAATAACAGATTATTAGATTGAAACTTAGTATCATTTGGGATTGAATCGGTAATTATATTGATTAACCAACATAAGATATTTTATTATCAACCTTGCATAATTCGATATAGAATTCTTTGTTTAATGAACGTATATTCTATTATTTCTTAATGTTAGTTTAACTAAAAGTATTGGTTAAAATGATTAATGTATATTCTTAGTATATATATTTATCATGAGGATTATTTTGCATTTTTAGCTTAATTTATGTATTTAGAACTAACCTAAACTTATAAACTTACTGAATCTAGTAAGACATTATTGAGATTATGACTGAAAATATCCTTCACAGGGAGGGTACCAAACTAATGTACCAATGCATACTAATCATTATAATTAAGAACAGTTAATTTGTAGTTCCATTAGGAGATGATGACATTTTCTTAAATTTACCGCTGTCTCAATATTGACTCGTTTCAGCATATTCGCCTCCATAAAACTTATTGGTTCGTGACTTTGTCTCCTAAAGTCCAATAAAAACAGCAATTTCACATCAAAGTAAAAAAACTTTAATAAATACTTCTTTTCTCACATAAAAATTTTACTCGTATTATAAGTTTTGTTATAAGACATTACATACTCCAAGTTACATCGGTTAATTAAATTAGCTGTATTACTTTCTTGGTTAAGTTTCAATTCTGGTATTGCAACACTGCAAAACCTTTAACTTATCCATTTTTTACTTTAGATCTATGAGAATGTTCTATTGATATGAATTTAATTATATTTCTTAGTTGACTTAAGGAAGGCCAGTAGTCATGTGGACGTGCACACTTTACAGGTTCCTTTGAAAGACATTGTCTGTTACCTGTCACTATTGGAGGCTGGAAGACCAGAAGATAAGCTTGAGTGTAAGTCTCATTGTAAATTAGCGATTTTATTACCTGTCACTATTGGAGGCTGGAAGACCAGAAGATAAGCTTGAGTATAAATTTCATTGTAAATTAGCGATTTTATTACCTGTCACTATTGGAGGCTGGAAGACCAGAAGATAAGCTTGAGCTTGAGTGTAAGTCTAATTGTAAATTAGCGATTTTATTACCTGTCACTATTGGAGGCTGGAAGACCGGAAGAATAGTTTGAGTGTAAGTCTCATTGTAAATTAGCGATTTTATTACCTGTCAGTATTGGAGGCTGGAAGACCGGAAGATAAGCTTGAACTTGAGTGTAAGTCTACTTGTAAATTAGCGATTTTATTACCTTTCACTATTGGAGGCTGGAAGACCGGCAGAATAGTTTGAGTGTAAGTCTCATTGTAAATTAGCGATTTTATTACCTGTCAGTATTGGAGGCTGGAAGATCAGAAGATAAGCTTGAGTGTAAGCCTCATTGTAAATTAGCGATTTTATTACCTGTCAGTATTGGAGGCTGGAAGACCTGAAGATGTTGCATAAATATCTTCATATTATTCCTAAGAAATCTGACTAGCTGATTGGCCGGTCGTTGATTCAATATCGTCTGTACACTCAGACCATATGAAATATTAATTCGAAGGAACTGAGTCTGTGAGACTACTTCAGCTACAGTTTTTATTACAGGTTTAAAAATGAAAGTTTATGATAATTACCAGATCGATGTTTCTATTAGACTTTAACATGCAGCGTTTCGCAAAGATAAAAATATTCATCTTTTAGAATGGCTTTTATACCATAATTTTAATGCATTCCCGCCGTCAGTATGAAGTAATTAAATGCTTCAAAGACGAATTGAAAAAAATTAATTTTCTGTTCTTATGATAACATGACGAAAGAATTAATTATGTTGAAGTAGGATGTATGCCTCGATCGAATTTTTTAAAAGTATTTCAATGTATTTCACGTTAAACAAATTATGTAGTTTTTTTATACCAGTTCATATAAAACAGAATGTACGTTGGACATTTTCGGTCAAAAGTAGTTGAGGAATTAAAACAAAAACAATACTTATAACCAAGAGACTTTGTAAATGGTAAACTATCAACAGTAAATTGAACTGAATTTATGTTGGCTGATTAAATTTATTGATAAGCTCCAGCTTCAGGAAATTCTCTGCAATAAATATCAGAAAAAAAAATTCAAAAAAATTGTCCCATTGTTTATCATGTTTGGTTTTTCTCATTGTAGAACGTTACTGTTAATCAAGAAGAAGAAGAAGCGTGTGTCTAAGTTAGTGTACCTGTAAAATGCAGTTTTCAATATTGTTAGTAATTGTTACATGAACTTTATATCTTTCAGTCATGTTTCGGCTTTACGATACTGATAGTAATGGATACCTCGATAGCAACGTAAGTTTTGTTTTTAATAAACCTTTTGTTATTATTTATGATATTTCACACGGGAATTTCAGACAGTTCTGTTGATTTACTACCATTTGATTTTTTTTTTTAGGGTTCATATGTTTAATTGTGTAGGTTGTGTGTTTATTGCTATTTATATATTCAGAATAAATTTTATGCAATTTAAGTTCTTTCAATTATGTGATTCACTTAGTGAATTTTACTTGATAACCCTCAAAAAGTTTATATTCCTACAAGAAAGGTGGCTTGAAAATAATGTGTGAATGGAAAACAAGAAGGAATCTTCAATAGCCGCGGTTGTAATTAGATCCCAAATCGGTCAAGAGATGGAGCTATGAGCTAAATGTTTTTACTTGAAAAACTCGGACCCATTCTATGAATCGCTATGCCGCGGCTAAAAATATTATGTAATATGACAATGACAAACCTATCGGTGTTTTTTTTAACATTAACTTTCTGGTTGAAATTTTGAGTATTTACATTTGAACCATTTCGTTTTGTTTTTTCAGATATTTCCGTAAAGCCACACAAAGGTTATTAGCACTAGCAGTCTCTAAGTTTGAGCTGATAGACTATAGGATAGGCAACTAGTCATCAGCACCTATTGCTAACTCTCGGGCTACTCTAGTGGAATAATTGAAGTTGGCCGTCACTCTTATAACACACTCACTGCACATTTTTTGCTCCAGTGGTATGCGAACCATGGGCATTGAGGTTTACAGTTCGGTACGATAACCACTAGGCCACGCCGGGGTGAATTTCGCTTATTATTTCATTTCTTGGTTCAACCACTGTTAGAAACATTTAAAGTATCGCTCTAACCACTATAACACATTACGCGACGCCCAAGACTAACCAAGAATTTGATCTTGCTCAAATAAAGCCCTTTATATTTTGAATTTAATGATGACATCAATCTTTCTAGGATCTTACTATAATCATGCTCGCTATATTGTGTCTTTCTAGAGCTTTCTACACCATTAATACTTCTTACTTTTATTAAGTTCTCTATTTAAGCTGTTTGGGGAATGTTATTTTAGTCCAGTAGTTCATTACGTAGATCATACATGGTTGCATTTTCTCCGTAGAACTAAAACTATTTCGTTAGAGTAATCTGTAAAGTGTAAGTATCATAGAACTGATGGTTCAGCAGTTACATGTTAAACGAATTAGGTAGTTTTTTTTTATATACAAATTCGTATTAATTCAATACAGGAAACAGAGTTTTGCGGTTACTTTTTATGTAATTTATTTATATTCACTTATCTATTTTTTTGTTTAAGCAGTGTTCATTCAGTTAATAGATTTTAACATATTTTTTTCTAAGTTGAACACGTTTAATTAATAAAGAATTTTTATACTAGCCGTAGTTGCAAATTCTGTAAACTCATGTTAGTCAGAAAAAGAAATCACCCATTGTAAAAATAGGTTTTTTGTCCTTTTTTGAGCAATATCATTGGACAAAAAGACAATGATTTAGCCAATTCTTAGCTTCACTGGCCGCTCCAAATCGATGGATCGAAATTACTGACGACTGCTTCAAGATTGTCGAAAAAAATTGCAATTTTAGTTCAAAATGGAATCTTTATTTTGCAAATGTAAAAGGCCTAGATGTTCAAAATGCTTATCGTGCTGTCATTGTGGTTGTGACGGATTATCAGTTTCTGATAAACTGACTCCGAGACGTGGGGGAAAGTAGCCAAAAAGTACATTAACAACTACTTATAATGCAACAATCGGTAGGAAAAAAAAGGACAACGGTAAAATTACAATGAGAACATTGTGAATATCAATGATGAAGTTGTACATGATGAAAGTGATGATATGGATTTTACTGATATTGACGTTTTGGCCTTGATTGAAGACGGTAATGATGAAAAAGAATGTGAATACGTCATGAAAGAATGCAGAAATGTATATGATAGAGATGTTTTCATTTTACATACTTCTTTGACATGTGAAAGTGAATGCTTTAATTTTATTGATGAAACAAGTCGTATCATTACCTTAAGCATTTCAGTACTAAAGAAAATATGCTTTTTTTTTTATCCAATGATGCAAACCAATTACTGCTTAATATAAGAAAACAGTTGTAAAAGATAGCAGAGAAACCAACGAAATCATATCCAGTAACAAGTTTAAAAAATATAATTGAAGTACAATCAAAACTTCTACTGCATTCTATCCAGAGAAGAGTTATTAGGTCCATTGTGTGGTTCACTAGAAAATGACGAAGCTTTACGTTTGTGAAAAATCGATATGACTGCCTAAGGTTTCAAGTTGGTACATTATCTTGTAAGCGCATTCCGAACATTGCTGTTTATTAGGTCGTCAAGAAATTAATGTCGCTTGTTTTTTAGATGAAAAAACCCGAACAACTTGTATGTCAAAACAAAACACTTATTAAATGAAATAGTCTCCATTCTTATCGATGATGCTTTTCCATCTTACAATCAGGTTGTTAATACCCTAATTAATAAAATCACTTTGATTTGAAGCAAAAAACACGTCGATGTCCTTTTTAATACCTTACACATTTGCATACGTTTATCCCATTAAGATGGT